GGGGTTGGGGGGGTTGGGGCAGGGGGGGGTATTTAGGCAGGGGCGGGGGTCCAGGGGGTGAAAGCCCTACCCTGGCTTGGGCCGCGGGCTACTCGTGTGACAACCATGGCAAGGGGAGTGCCCGAAGAAGAAGAGGGAAACTGAGGGAGTTTTATCTGCTACACTGATGGATACTTTCTCTTCCACCCTCTCAGTCTCATCTCCCTCCCTCCGTCTTCTTCTCTAGTGACCAGACATTGGGCTACTTGATGATGTATACGATTATTTGGAGAGATTGAGACTGCGCTGAGACATCCTGTATTTTCACATTGACGAGCTTCTCTCCTAACTGGGTTCATTGGGATTTGGTATCAGAGCGATATCCTCCATTCCGTGGTCAGCTGCTGACGTGTACTAAACCTCGCGGAAGTATTGTATTTGCGCGCACGCATGTGGTAAACACGCGACTGTACTCGCACATGCGCGCTTATCTTATGATGATGATGATGATGATGATGATGATGATGATGATGATGATGACATGGACCTGATCTTCGCTGGCAATGTGGAGTTGACGTGGCATTCAAGAAACCATAGAGAGAGAGAGAGAGAGAGAGAGAGAGAGAGAGAGAGAGAGAGAGAGAGAGAGAGAGAGAGAGAGAGAGAGAGTAGAAGGCGAGCTGCGGCCTCACAGCTCGTGCAGCCAGAGCAAGAAGACACCATCGTTCACAAACACGCAAGCGAATTTCAAAACGAACAGCGACAACTTGTGTGAATACTGCAAAAGAGCATACATGCGGTCCCTCGGCCGGTTTCGCCCGTCCGCACGGGTCTCATCAGGAGGGTGACTCCGAAGGAGTCTTCGTGCTCGAAAAGGGAGGCTACGGCCTTGCCTCCCATGCTATATAGTCTTGCTTCCCGTAGTCACGTCACCATACCCTCGCGAACCTGCATCCTTGCTATCTCCAAGAACCAAATAGGGCACTGTTGTTCCGCCGGTCAAGACGCTCACCCTCTACTCGTCGTCACTGTTGCTCTCCTCATTCATCCCGAAACATCCCTGTATCTGCCTTTGTCCCCGCCTAGGTACCGCTCCCGACTTTTTTTGTGTTACCCCTGCGGCTGTTTGCAAGATTCCGGTTYTATTCTCGTCACCAGGAAGACCGGTGTTCGAGTTTTCAAAAGTCGTCTACGACTATCCAAACTTAGTCCACATTAGAAACGTTAGGCCGGTAGTAGCCGAAGAAAATCGTAAGAATAAATAAAGAAATAAAAAAGAGAAACACATAAACTAAATAGATACAAAATTATAAATAAAAAAGAGAAACACATAAACTAAATAGATACAAAATTACTTGCGGCCGCGCAAAATTTTAGACTACATGGTCTTTCCAGTCAATTTTCCCGCCCCTCTCTATCTGCCTGTGGGCCTGTGGCCCTTCGGAACCCCTCCCCTTATCTCCTGGTCTGTACCCCGTTCCCTCCTTATCCCTCTCACCCAGTCTGCCGACATCCTCATAGCTGAAAGTAAAGTTCTTAGTGCCTGT